CAACTGTTATATATCATATAAACTTGCAACTGTTCTCTGTTATATAACATTATATATTGCGGATGAGTATATCATATACTATGTATATTGACACATCTTATTGAACTCTTGCATTTCGTATACACCATCGATTACTCCCTTTTCTTGAATACACCTTTTCCCTTGGTAAACATGCTACAGGCTTCTTACTGTCTTTCCTCTCTGGTTTCTCCTTCTCATCTTAGTTTGGAACTCCATCGCTTCTATAAGTTGTAAATTTCAGAGTGCCTCAAGGGTCCTTTCCACGACTTCTTCTCTCCTTACTCTATACTCTTCTGGAGAAACTGCACCCATACTTTGGCATCAAATACCATTGACATGCAAACAGAAGTATTTATTGGTGAAATTATCTTTTAGACTTGTTTTAAAATACTTCAGTGGAAAAAAAAATGGGAAGGAATAGATGAAACAAGAATGGCAAAATGTGGATTGTTAAACTTGGGTCATAAGTGCATGGGAATTCATCACGCTGTCATATTCTCTTCTCTGCGTTTGGGTATATTTAAAATTTTCTGTAGTTAAAGAGTGACAGAAAAACAATAAAATTAAAAAATCATTTGTATCCTGAGGATTCCCATAATTGTGTCCCTAACCTGTACATCTCCTCTGAGCTCCATGTCTGATCATAAGACTGTCTCCTCAGCATCACCACTTGAATGTCTCTCAAATACCCCAAACTTAAAAAGACAAAAATGGAACCACAGTCTCCTCCCTCACCATGCCAGCCCCCGGCTTGCTCCTTGCCCAGCACCTCTCTTCTCAGAGTGGGGCCACCAAATCTGCGCCATTGCTCATTCCACAGCTGGGAACTCATTCTTAACTCTCCCTCAGCACTCCCACTTCCCAAATCTGCTTAACCACCATATCCTGTCACTGTTCCGTTTCTTAGCTTCAGACTTGAGCTCTTTCCCATCTTCACAGTCATTGCTAATTCCCGGCTAACTACATTTCCCACCTAGACTCTTAGAAACCCCAACCAAATTCAGCACATGACTGTTCCCTCTTCCCATTTATTCACCACTCAGAGACAAAATGATCTGCCTTATAAATAAAATTGATTACATCTAGATTCTGTTTACATAACACGGCTCTCTGGCTTCTCTTTGGACTTAAGAGCCAGCTCTTAAGCTCCTAGCATGCCCACCATTGGGATTTCCATGGACTCACCCTGGAACCAGCCCAGTGGCCTTTCCTCAGCTTAAACCGTGCACCTCACTCCTGCCCGCCTCGTTACCCTTGTTCCTGTGGTTCATACGCGGGCCACTTTGAACCTCACTCTAATACTTTACCTCCTCAATACCCGTATTCTGACTTCAGGTTCCACCTCAGTTATCACTTTTTTTTCTGTCTCTAAAAAATTCTTTGTTAAAGTAATGCATTTTTAATAGACTTTACTTTTTAGAACAGTTTTAAGTTCACAGAAAAATGAGTGGAAGGAACAGATTTCCCATATACTCCCTACCTGCACACACGCACAGCCTCCCCCGTTATCAATATCTTCCACCAAAGCGGCATGCCTTTTACAACTGATGAATCTACATTGACACATCACTATCACCCAGAGTTCATACACCTATTTTTTTAAGGGGCAAATATTACATAGTTAAGCAAGTAAAAGTGCTGAGGTTAGAGTATAGGTCTCCATATTAAAAGCTCATAGTTCATAATGAAAAGTCCGAGTTATTTAAGGTCAGATCACCTTCAGCTCACATCCCAGAAAAAAACCTTTTAATGAGGATCCTACCTTCTCCCTTCCCAACAAAAACTATAGGTTCTTTGCAATGAGAATCATTAAACTTCTTTATCTCCCTCCCACCATAAGTCTTACCATCAATCAGCAAAATTTCCAAACTTGGTCCTTGTTATAATTCTTGGTCAGTGAACACCATTTTTTCCCAAACTTATGCCCATCGTTAGTACATTCCCAGTAGATCATGCGTCTGTACCAGAAGGGAAACACACATTTTGCAAAGTCTGCAGAGAAAAAAAGAAGTCAGAATTAGAAACTTTTCTATTTGGCACCTCTTCACCACACAATGCAGACACACACCCCACACCGCTAGCCCTGCACACACACACACACACACACACACACACACACACACACACACACACTCACATATTTTTGCTTCCCACTTAGCACTCTCTGCTCTGCCCTATTCCACCAAAAGCCTGTGAGAACAGTGTTGGTGGGGGATTAAGACCCCCTGTTGCTTTTGAAGTTCTACGAAAAGGTTCTTTTCAAGTTAATGTTGTTGAAATACTCATATCCTCAGTGCAATGTAATTCTCATGTCAGAAATCACGTATCTCTGATTTTCACAATTTAATTGGCTATGGATTCTGTTTTCAGAACCATTTTGTGTGTCCTATCAAATCTCAGCCCCAGACCCTGGGATTACTACCTTGGCATATGCAGAGGCAGGGCACTCACCATCTCGGGCACAGTACTTCCAGTATCCTTCGTAAGTAGCGTTTACTGAGCACCACTTGTGTTTTGCCTTGAACTTGATGCAATCATAGAATGTTTTATTTTTATACTGGAATGGGAAGACACACTCACCATCTGGAGAAAACAAACATTTTTCATTTGTCTCTGGGAGTGTTTTTGGAGAAGTTGTAAAGAGACTTTCCTCACAGGGATTGTCGTACTTTGAAATCAGAGCCACTGGCTGTGGCTCCATTGAACATTATTGCCTTATACCACAGCAGAGCTGTTGGGCTTCTGATGATAAGTGTTTTTTGTTTTATACCCTTGTCCCTGCTCCACTTGTTTCCAGGGCATAAATAGGCTGGAAATTTTGCTTAGCATTTGCCTCAGTTCAGACATCTATTCTAAGCTTAGAAACATAAACGTGGGCATTTATCTTCCAAACGACTTCCTCCCATCTCTTTTTTTTCTTCTTTGTCTTTTATTTCTTTAATTCAAGAATCTTAATTGTGCAAAACTTAAGAATAATGGCAAAGACTAATATTCTTCTTTTCCTAAACATTGCAAAAGAACTGCTTCATCATTTATATTCATTTTTACTTACTAAGAACAGGAAGAAATATTTAAAGAATTTCACCAACAAATTATCAACCAGAAAGAGAGCTTATCAGACCATTAGAAATCTCTAAGGTGATCTTTGAAAGTATACAAAAGTTACTATGTATCTCTGCACTATCCCTTTTCCAGTCTTCTTATTCATATTCAGATAACAATACACTGGCTAGCTGCTCACAGTGATCTTTTTTGAAGTTTATTTATTTATTAATGTACATTTTTTTTACATTCTATGATGTTGTGGAGTGGTAGGGGCGGGGAGAGTAAAGGGGGAAGGAAATAGGGTGGGAGAAGGAGGGACAAGGATGGACAGGGTTGAGGCCTGTGGCACCCCCACCCCCCCGGCTGCATTCCTGTAGGAGAGACCAGGGGGCTTCCAGTGGTGGCTGGGTCATTGCTGGGCAGGGTGCAGATGTCAGGGGGGTGTGGCTGAAGACCTTGCCCCCCACTATCCCAGCTCGGGAGAACCCAGGGTGCTTCCTGTGGCCTCCTCATCTCTTTTCTTCATCTTCTTCCCCTCTCTCCCCATACATTTATATTTTTATACATGTCTATATATTTATATTTATACACACACATAACTATATATATATATGCACCATATATATAGAATCATACAACACACACATATATATATATAACCATGCAAAACAGATATATATATATATATATATATATACAGGCACACATACACACAGACATACACATATACACACACGTGTGTGTGTGTTTGTGTGTGTGTGTGTATAGCCATATTACATATATAACCATGCAAAACTGCAAAACACACATATATATACAGGCACACATACATGGAATTTTGCTGTCCCTAAAAATGAATCATATTTTATGCCCGTAATTTGAATGCCTAACTTAACACATCATAGAAATCCTTTTAAAGTGACTTTGCAGCTCTAATGCTGATTTATGATCTGTGATATGGATTCACTGCAATTCATTCAATGTTTCTCATATTCATATTTTTTCCCAGTGTAAATACAGCCACAGTAAACACTGCATGTATATAAATCCTCATGTACTAAAGTATTTGTTTCTATAGAATAGAATCCCCAAAGCTAAGTCATAAGGACAAAGCATATATAAAGTTTCAGCATGATGAGTATTGCTTTCTCAAAGGACAATAGCAATTTATCTTTCCCACTAATGTGCTCTTTTACCTGAATTTTCATCAGCACAGAGCATTTGCACACTTTAAAAATGTTAACGTGTATAACAGATGATTCCTTTCTTGCTTTAGAAGATCTCCTGGTCTTAGGCCATATATACTTGTACACTCGTATTTTCCTACATTTTCTTCTTAAATTAAATGACTTTATTTCTTTTTCATTTAAAATTTAATTAAGCAGAAATTTAGGTGTATTTATAATGCAAAAGGGGAATGCAACTTTATTTTCTTCCAAACACATATTCCGTAATGACAGATTGATGATAAAGTACACCACCTGTATATTTAAACACCCATACATTTAAACCAGATACTAAATTCCAATATACCTTGGGATCCATTGTATTTTCTTTTTAGTTTTTAAATTAGAACATAATTGTACATATCTGTGAGATACTGCATTGAATATCAATACCTGTGTGTAATATGTGAGCTCAAATCAGGATAATTAGTCTATTCAACATTACACAATATAATCATTTCTTCTGGCCCTTTACCAACTTCTCACTAACTCCCCTCTCCCTTTTCCCCTTTCCCACCTCTGGTAACCTCAGTTCTGTTCTCTGCTTTTGAAAGTTCCACATATTATTGTAATTGTTGTATCTTTCTTTCCCTCTTCCTTCCTTTTTTTCTCTTTCTTTTTCTTTAATTCATTTATCCATTCACTTTTTAAAGCTCCCACTTATGAGTGAAGACATGCAGTATTTCTCTTTCTGTGCCTAGCTTATTTCACTTAACATAATTTCCTCTAAGATCATCCATGTTGCTGCAAATGGCAGAATTTCATTCTTTTTTATGGCAGGTTAGTGTTCTATTGAATATATATACTGCATTTTCCTTATCTAGTTGCCTGCCAATGGACATTTAGGTTGGTTCCAACTCTTGGCTATCATAAATAGAGTTGTGATGAACTTGAAAGTGCAGGTATCCCTTTGACATGATGATTTCCATTCATTTGGGTATATACCCGTAGTGGAATTGCTGGATCATATGGCAGTTCTATGTGTAGTTATTTGAAGAACCAACATGCTGTTTTCCATAATGGCTGTACTAATTTATAGTCCCACTGACAGTAGAGGATGGTTCCCCTTTCTCTGCATCCTCACCAGCATTTGTTATTCGCTGCCTTTTTGATAATAGCCAGTCTAACTGGGGTGAGATGATATCTCAATGTGGAGATCCGTTGTATTTTCTATCAAGTTTTTTGAAATTATTAGAGAGATAGGATAGCATGGTGGTAAAGTGAGTAGGATCCAGAGCCAGCAATCATCACAAAATATTTCTTCTTCTTCCTCTTCCTCTCCTTCTCCTTCCTATTATTTGACTCCCTAGGCTATCATGCTGATTATATTATAATATTTATAGTATTTTTACACATCTGATGAGACAAAGTGTTTCTCTATCCCAACACTATTTTTGTTCATAATATTCCTAATTATTATTGGATGTTTCTTCTATATGAATTTAAAAATCTTGAATTCTCTATTAGATTGGCAGAAATTAAAGAATGGAAACATTTAGTGCTGCTAAAGTTCAGGGTGACTTCTATTTCTCTGTTTCTTTATCTGTTTTCTTTATGCAAGGTACTTATACTACATTTTATAAAAGGAGAAAACATATTTTTACCAGGAAAAAACTAATTGCCCCATTTTTATAAAATTAAGAGAAAATACAGTTTAATGCAAGATCTTTCTGATCGACTTACCTCTGACCTCTGGAAAATGAGTTATGGTGTCTGAAAAATAAAATTTAAAGTTGTTATTTATTTCACTATTCTTAGACTTTAATATTAGCTTCTATATAAAATGGCATTAAATAAAAAAGTTTGAGGAAAAGTGACATTATAATTGCATTATGTCTTTCATTCAAGAACATGGCATAATCTATTTTTCACATTGGTTTTATGTTCCTCAATACAGTTTTATCATTTACTTTACATAAACCCTACATATTTCTCGCTAATTTAATTTCAAAGTTTTTTTGTCATTGATGTAAAATAGAATGTTTTCCTTTTTCTATCAATGTCTAGTTGGTTCTTACCAGTATAGAGAAAAATTGTTGACTGTTGTATGTTTATCTTGCATCTAGCCACATAACCAGATTCTCTTATTAAAACTAATAATTTTTACATTTTAAAGATTTAAAGTATACAGTCATAAAATAATTTTGCCATTATTTTATAGATTTTATCCTTTTTATAGATTTTTTATATTTTACAGATTTTTTCCTTTTTACAATTTCACACATGTTAGAATCCTCAAAATAATGTTAACTAGTATTGGTGACAAATACAGCCCTGTGCTTTCCTGGTTTTAGCTGGAATGACATTCATATTAAGAATTTTCATTTCATCATGCTTGACATTAGTTCAAAAAATAGGTATCAATTAAAAAATATCAATCACTAAAGGAGTTTTAAAATATAGTTTTTATAATATTACACAGGCATTAACAAAGATAAGCAAATAAGTAGATACCGAAAAACCTGTACTTCATCTTTAAGTGACAAAAGGTGTTTCCTATTTCATTATGTCCTATAAGCCTTGATTTTTTAAAAAATTATGAAGTTATATGTAATAAAATGTTTAATCACTTGAAAGTATTAACAGTAAAATTGACAGTAAAATTTTGACTTCTCTCTTCTTCCTTTTCCTTACCTATTTTTAACATGGAACTTATTTCAGCTCATATATGTACATAAAATAGTAGTTTTTCATAAAAATCTAATTTCTTACCAGGAAAAGAAGCATTCAATGGTTTCACATTTCATTGCAAAATTTAAAAAGAAACTTCAATAAAATTTTTAAATCAACTCACTTATAGTTGGTGGATATTCATCTGAAAGACAAAAAAAAAATTATACTAGATTTAGCCTTTAAAATAAAAGAAATAAAAATATTTCACCAAATTCTATTCTAGCAATAGTAGTGATATTTTAAAACTTATGTATCAAAATTCAGTAATGCTTATTTTAGTAGTGTGATTGTGAGTGATTTTTTATTTTCCTTTTGCTTTAACTGTATTTTCCAAATATTATTAATGAATAGAAACCATTAAAATTATTTTTAAAACAAGAAATTCAGTAGGCAAAAGTAAATGATTTAATTTCCCCATATTTTCCAATAAAATACACCACATTATAATAAAAAAACGTTTTATCATTTCACCATTTTTGTTTTGTTTTATTTTATTTCTTTTTAGTACTATTTGGAAGGTACAATATGAAGCAAACATTTGCTTAACTCTTCTTAGCTTTTAAAATGAGATTAAATTAGTTTCACCATCTGTAAAAGATAGGTTTTTGCAGCTCACTTCATAGGTTTGTTGTGAGGATTACATGAAAACATCCATCAAGGATTGTGTACAGTACACATCATATAGCAAGAAATTAGCACACGGAAACAATTTTATTGCAATGATAATGATTTCTGTTCTCAAAATAATCTTTATTATTTTCTCCTTTACCAGATGGAAGACTCATTTAAGTTGGTGACAGATTATCACAAACTTTAGAGAATTATATCCATTAAAAACTTCTTGAGAATTCAAGTGTAGGAGTCTTTGATATCTAGCAAATATTGAAGTCACTGGAAATCTCAAAGAAAGTGCTAAGGCATTTCATAAAAAATGGAATGTCTATTTTTCACAGGTCTTCAACTGCTCTTCTTTAATATTGGAATACAGGAGGCTCTCTATGGGTGTATAATTAATTCCCTGTAGATTTTGAGTAGCTTGCTAACAACATGAAACACATTTTTCAGGGACAGGAAATAGTTTTACTGATTGACAGGAGGGAAAAGACAAAGAATTTTTAACAACATGAACTATGACTTAGGGAAAGAAATCTAACAGGCAACATGGCATATAGAGAGCAATGAGAAAGTCATTTATAATTATGAAGGATCTCAGTGGGAGGACATGTTCAGAACATAAATTGACAGTGCAGATATATGGCTAAAGAAATATGCTTTCTCTGAATTTTTAGTTCAAATTCCAGTTGTACCTGCTAGCTGTGTGACCTTGGGTATGTGACTCAGCCCCTGTGTGCCTCAGATTCTCTTCTGCAAAAAGAAGGCAATCATTCTACTTATCTCATGGGATTGTTATGAGGAACAAGTAGATTATGCATATCGAGTATTTAGAGTAGCGCCCAGACCAAAGAAAGAACTTAACAGCTTATATCTACTAGCATCGTTATCAACAAAGTTATAACTACTGAAATACTGTCATCACTGTCTTCATTGTGAGTACCATAAGAGTCAGTCCAGTCTTCAGGGAAGGATGGTGGTGTTTCTGATATGAAATACTATAGATTTTTTATTTTCGTCATCAATTCTCACTCATACCTAAATTCTACTGTTAGAGATTCATGCCTTTGGAGGTGTCACTTTCTACATGGAAATCCCTCCCTCTAGGAGAGAAAAATAAGGATGGTGCCTCTGAGGTATGTAGGGAATGCAAGTGCACTGAGCATCTTCTGTGTACTGGGCACTATATTTTATTTAATTAATGAGGACAATTTTGTGAAGCAAGCATTATTTCCACCATCTTACAGGTAAGAGGACTAAAGCTCGGAAAAGTGAACTAAGCTCTGTAATATTGCCAAGCGGATCTGGCAATTCATTTTAAGCCCCTTTTGGAGGGGATGGTTCAGTGAGATGTAGTGGCCCAAATCCCATGACGGGCTCAACCACTTACCATGTAGCTTCACTTTGCTGAGCTGTAAGATGGGGAGAGAACACTGGGACATCAAGGCCTTCCCAGCTAGAATATTCTAATACAACTGTTCCTGAAATGGGAGAAACTGCGGGTAGCTTTGCTTTTTTCTTCAAAGCAGCACTTCTCAGCCATTGTTTCTTCATGAACCACCAAACCCACAATACTTACCTCCTCAACCCTTAGAATTTGAAGTTTTGTTTTGTCATTTTTGCATGGTTTCTTTCTTTTTTTTTTTTCCTTTTTGTCTTTTTTCGGGTCCGGCAACGGATCGCAACCCTCGGTGCCGCGCCCACACCTCGCTCAGCCAGTGAGCAGGAACCTGTCTGTATGTGGGATCCGAACCCTCGGTGGGAGCGCCGCCACACTTCCCAAGCGGCGCACTGTAGCAGTGCGCCACCGGGCCGGCCCCATTTTTGCATGGTTTCTGATGAAGTGGTTTTATGTAAAAGCTATTTAATTTGAAATCAGCATGTACTTAAATATTAAATATTTGTTACAAAGTTCATTTGAGTCTTTAAGAACAGTCATAATTTTAGCATGAAATATAACAGAATGAATTGTAGAATAAATATAGAGTAAAAAATCTGATTTTTCCCAAATAGCAGGTGATGCATAATGCTTAAGACCTATTAAAATTATGTAAGATAGAAAAGCATAATTTACCAACAAATAAATTTATAGATGTCACATTTGGTTAGGAGAACACATACATATTGTAATGTAAGCTGCAGGTGCATCTCATATTAAAGAGTTAAAATTCAACATAATCTGTGTTTGCAACCAGTTCATAAATTTTGTGTATTACACCAAAAACAACAATGACTTTAATTTTGTATTTGTTGTATATATTTTGTTTATTAAATGACTATTTTGCTATTTGCTTATGTTCATTTATTGTACAAGTTTCTCTTTCAGCTGAAGGCTGCTGGCTGCCACGGTGGCTTGAAATGAAAACTTTTTCCTTAGTCACATATTATTTAACGGATATCCATGATGAGCCAGTGCAGCGCTTCACAAACTTTGCTGCGTCTTAGAATTACCAGCTGAGATTTTAGAAATCTTGATGACTTTTGCTTCTGGCTATATACGCAAAATAATTGAAAGAAGGGGGCCGGCCTGGTGGCGCACTGCTACAGTGCACCGCTTGGGAGTGTGGCGGCGCTCCCGCCGAGGGTTCGGATCCCACATACAGACCGGTTCCTGCTCACTGGCTGAGCGAGGTGCGGGCGCGGCACCGCGGGTTGCGATCCTGTTGCTGGTCCCGGTCCGGTACGGGCACGACACTGAGGGTTGTGATCCGTTGCTGGACACGAAAAAAGACAAAAAGGAAAAAAAAAAAAATCCTCTCCACATCGATAGACCCCAAAAGGCAAAGGACAGCTCCCTGTGCCTGAAAGTTCCCCTGAGCCCAGGCACAGGTGTCATGGCTTCAGCCACTTCCCGTCAAACTCAGGAGTGCTGGGTTGGGGTACTTGGGGTTCTCGATGACTCCAGAGCCGAACTTGAGCTCCAGGTAGCGCCGATAGTTGTTGGGTGCCTGTGCCACGAAGCTGGCAAAGGGCAGGGGCACGAGAGGCTGCAGGAAGTGTTCTGGGAACTCGACATCCTGCCGGTGGTCCAGCCAGATATTTGTAAACCGAAGTTCACAGCAGCGTTATTCACAGCAGTCAGAAGGTGGAAACAACCCGAATGTCCACGTACAGATGAATGGATAAACATGAGGTGGTCTATCCATAAAATGGAATTTTATTCAGCCGTAAAAAGTAATGACATTCTGATACATGCTACCACATGGATGAAACTTAAAGACATTATGTTAAGTAAAATAAACCAGACACAAAAGGACAAGGATACATTTTCACTTATATGAGGTATCTAGACTTGTCAAATTCATGAAGACAAAAAGCAGAATCATGGTTGCTAGGGCCTAAGGGGAGGGAGAAATGGGAGTTATCGCTCAGTGGGAACAGAGTTTCAGTTTGGGATAATGGAACACGCTCTGCAGATGGATCGCGGTGATGCTTGCACAGTAATGTGCGTGTACCTGATGCCACAGGACCATGCACTTAGAAATGGTTACACTGGTAAGTTTTATGTGCATTTTACTATAATAAAAAAAAAGAAAAATTCCTGATACCCAAGTTGTACCTCAAGTCAATTAAATTAAAATGTCTGTGGGTGAACAATTTTTAAAAGATCCCCAGGAATTCCAATATGCTGCAGAGTTTGGAAACCACTGGGCTAATGACTAAAAACAGAAAGTGTAAGCAGGACTAATGTTGAAATATGACAAAGTAAAGAGAAGTATAGAAAGGTAATAATTTTACAAATTTACCTCAAAATTACCTTCCCTCATTCCGTAAGTTGCACTTATTTAATAAAAATCTGTATATACATGTCATCAATCTCCAGTACTTTAAAAGCCAAGGTTAGAAAGAGAAAATACAGTTGTGCCTATACTCATTTTCACCTTTTTATTTGCTGGGGAAAAAGTCGATCCATACCTGTGTAGTGTTCCTTGTGGAGGAGGGATGTTAAAATTGGCAAAAGAACACTTTGGGGAGGGAGTTGGAGAAGTAACACAGTGATGCTGCAATACTGGAAGAAGGGATAATGGGACAGAGCCCACTGCAGGGCATGAACAAAGACGCCTGTGGCCAGGGGTCTCCAAGACCACCCTCAGTTTCAATGATTCATGAGAAGGACTCACAGAACCCAGACAAGCCCTTATACTCATGGTTATGGTTTACTACAGGGAAGGATAGAGATTAAAATCAGCCAAGGAAAGAGGTGTAGGGGACAGGATTCAGGAGAGACCAGGCAGAGCTTCCAGTCGTCCCCCCGGTGGAGTCACGCTGACGGCACTTCCTTCTCCCAGCAACACTGTGCAAGAGTGTGTATGAAGTCCTGCCCACCAGGTAGGTTCACTCGAGCCTTGGGGTCTGGGATTTGTGTTGGGAGTTGGTTGCCTGAGCTTGGAGCACTCACATGGCTGAGTTCAGTTGCTCAGTCTCAGCCACCTCCAGAAGTCAAACTGATACAGTGTGGCCCAAGGTCCCCACCACAAGTCACATTGTTAGCATAGACTATCTGGTGTGTACTTCTAGGAGACTCCAAAAAGTTTAATATTATAGTTGGCCTAATTTTGACTAAGGAATATGTTAGAGTCAAAAGAATAAGGGCTTGAGGATCAGCCAGAACAAGCCTGAAATCCTGACTCTGCCACTTATTAGCAGGGAAATTTTAATATTGGAATCTCCACTTTCTAATTTATCAAATGGATATAAAAGTGTTGTCAGTCAGGATATGCCAGCTCATGCTGGCATGCAACCAACAACCCCAAAATATCAGTGGAATAACAGAATAACAGAAGTGTATTGTCTCCTGCTGCGTGCCCAAGGTGAAGGGAAGGGCGCTATTTATTGTGTTCCCTCAGGAACCCAGGTTGATAAGAGGGTCCATCTTAACCCATGCTTGCAAGATGGCAGGGATTGTTTCCAGAAGAAAACTGTTAGCTCACGTTTCATCGGCTAACATGAGTCATCTGACCACCCCCAGCAAGGTGCAATCCTGAAGGACCTGCACACAAACAGCACTAAAGATGGCCACATGTCAACCTCGCAGATTTATCAGAAGTATGAACTACATGCTTCTAACAGTACTTTGCAACCAGCACAAAGCCAGTGCTTCTCAAAAACTTGTTCCCTTTCTGGGATATTTTCAAATTTACCTAGAGATTCTGGAGTGATGCTCTCAAAAATTCGGATTTAATCGTTTTGGGGCAGGGCCTGAGAATCTGCATTTTAATTTGCATCTTACATCATCTGAGGTAGGTGGGCCCAAGATCATATTTAGCAAAACACTGATAAGATTTATAGGACTTTTATTTCATTTTAACTGTAATGAAATTCATTGAAGCATTTTGTTGTTGTTGTGTCTTCCCCCCCATTTATTTGTTTGTATATTTATTTACATTGAAGCATTTTAAGAAGAGTAGGGCCGTGATCTAATTTATGTTCTTTTAAACATTACTCTGGCTGCTGTGGAGATAGGATGGGGGTACGTGTGGCTATAATGAGGGGTTTTATTGTATCCAGGAGATGGATTGGAAGCAGGGGAGAAAGCACAGGGTTCAGTCAAGGGAATTCACAGATATCTGGTGAGTCCTTTTATTAAAAGGAGAAAAGGAAAAACCAATTATGGAAGCCGTTACTGTTAATTAGGGGGATGGTTTAAGCGAGTGGTGACAATGAGGTTGTATATACCTAAAAATGTTCTGTCTTCAACAAAATCACTTCCCATGACAAAATTCACAGATACTTTATCTTCTAAAAAGCTGCTATTGTCTAATCCTTTGGTGTAAATTTTAATTGATTGTGAATCCTCTGGGCTCCGTAGTGCTCAAAACTGGATTCAGATGAGAACCATCTCAGAGCTTCTGGAACATTACCAAGCCCTGGTCCACCCTCAGATATTTTGGTCTAATTGGTTTTAAATGGGTGCTAAGCATCAGAATTTCTTTTCATTTTATTTTGAGGTGGTCACACAGTAAAACCGACTTTTTTGGCATATGGTTTCATGAGTTCTAATGTTGGCATGGGTTTGTGTAAGCACCACCGTCAGGATACAGAAGTTTGTCAACACCACAGAATGTCCCTTCCATCATGCCTTTATAGTCATCCCGTCCCCCAGTCCCTTTCTCTAGGCAACCACTGATTCTTTTCCTCCGCCACCGTACTTTTGTCTCTTTGAAAATTACACGTAAATGGAACTGTACTGCGTATAGCTTTTCCATCTTTCAGTCAGCGTAATGCCTTTGGGACACAATCAAGTTGTGTTGATAGGAAGTTTGTCCCCTTTTATTGTTGTTTAGTACTGCATTGTATGGATATACCACAGTTTGCTTATTCATTCACCCCTGGAAGGATATTTGGACTGTTTCTGGTGACTATGAAAAGAGCTGCTATAAACATGATATACAAGCTTTTATACGAACACAGGTTTTCATTTCTGTAGGGTAGAGATTGGAAAACTTTTTCTATAAAAGGCCACATAGTGAATATTTTTGGCTTTCCGGGTCATTTGGTTTCTGTCACAGCTACAAAACTCTGCATGGTGGGTGAAGGCAGCCAAAGACAACACATGAATGAATGAGTGTGGCTGTGTTCCAATAAAATTTTATTTATAATAACAGGTGGCAAACCAGGTTTGGTTCATAGGACGTAGTTTGCCAGCCCCTGCTCTAGGGTAAATAGCAGTAGGATTGCCGTGCCATATGTTAAGTGTATGTTTAATTTTATAAGGCACTGCCAGACTGTTTTCCAGAGTAGCTTCATCATTTTGTGTTCTTACCAGCATTGCACAAGGGCGTTAACTGCTCCACCTTCTCATCAGCACTTGGTATTGTCAGTGGTTTTTATTTTAGCCATTCTAATGATTCTAGTGGAATGACTAATGACGAACCCTGTTTGAAAAACATGTGATTATTTGCCATTAACATTTTTTTTCAGAGCTTCTCAGTTAATTAGGAGGTGAAGCCATGATTTTGAAGCACTGGTCTAAATGTTCAAACACTTGCTTGACATCATTAAGACACCCCTGGTTTGCACATCTAGAACACGTCACCTCTCTCCTCTTTTCTCCAGTCAGAATTGGAGGTGCCACGCTGAGGAAATATTCCTGTTTTAGAATACGTTAGGTCCCTGGAACTGAAAACCTGACTTTTAGAAAGCCCCCACCCTTTGGTTTCATGTCTCTAAGTTTCATTCCTCTGTTTCTATCTCCCTAAGTCTCTGTCCCCACAAGCAGGCTGAGCACGCTGTACCTAGTGTAACATTGTACCTGCTTCCCCTGCTAGCACAACGCTTCTGTCTCGGCCTGTCTCTGTCCCCATGAACAGACTGTATCCAGAGTGGAACGCTGTGACTGTCTTCCTAGGCTAGGCCAGACGCCAGTCTTAACCCTGAAAAGAAGACACCCAGTTTTTGGCTCAGCCCAGCAAGTCCACTTGCTTCTTGCTAATAAAATCCTTCTTCCTCTACCTGGCTAGCGCCTCCTTCCTCAGTGACCTTACAGAATACACATGCTTCTAACATATAAAACCATTAATTGTTCATGTTGCTTTCTGGTCCTGACATTTTGCCTCAAAGTTAAGATCAAAAAAAGGGATTTGGAAACAGTAATGACAAAAACAGTTTCCAGCTGTGACAGTCTGTATTCTACTGCTTTGCTGATTCTTCTGAAAGAGAAATAGCGAACTCCTGGATTTAGAGCCAGACATCTTATTAGTGGTAAATGTGCTTGAAAATATTCCCTGCTTTTCCTTCCACTTCCCACCACGGACTAAGGTGGGCGTTCCATCTCAGTGTCCCTTTTCTGTACCTGGCACATAGTAAGTGCTTCGAAAACATTTGTCATTATCTTACAAAAAGTGAAGGGTTTGGTTAGTGTATTAGTTTCCTAAGGCTGCTGTAGGAAGTACTGCAAACTGGGTGGCCTAGAACAACAGACATTTATTGTCTCACAGTCCTGGAGGCCAGAAGTCTGACATGAAGGTATTGGCAGGGTTGGTTCCTTCTTGGGAGCTCAGAGAACCTGTTGCATGCCTCCCTCCTAGCTTCCGGTGGTTGCTGGCAATCTTTGGCACTCCCTTGCTTGTGGCTGCATCACTCCAATCTCTGCCCCTCTCTTCAAAGGCTGTCTTCCCTGTGGTCTCTGTCTCCTCTGTTTTCTCTTCTTATAAGGATACCAGTCCTTAGATTAGGACCAGCCCTTAACCATTATGACTACATCTTAACTAATTACATCTGCAAAGACCCTGTTTCTAAATTTGGTCATATTCACAGGTCCTGGATGAAAATGAATTTTGGGCACTGAGTATAAAGGTGAAGAATTTGAGTAGCAAGTGGACAATACAGTTGTCTAGTATCTTAACCTCTAACCCACTGCTCCAACCACGACCCTCACTCCTGTCCCCAGGCCCATTATAGTCACCAACCCAGTTACTGCTTTTCTGTTCATAGATACTTTCTTCTAGCTCCCTTTCATGCTAGCTACAAGCATGATCTTTAGAAAATGCAAATAATAATGTCATGCCCTGGGATAATATTTTTTTTCAAGGGTTAGCTCTCAGGCTGAGACTCAAATTCATCAGGCTGGCCCTCAATGCCCTACCTGACTCTAATGTCACCTGAGTCATGACTGGTAACTGCTGCAGCCGGGGATGGACACGTGGGGAAGGCATGTGAATGTTTCCATAGTACAACAGTTTTTAACATTTTTAAAAGAAAACCTGACCTAATCATAATAGTAAAGAATTATGGAACACTCAGTGTGGGAGTGGAAAGTGGTATGGCTACTATGGAAAACAGTATGATGGTTCCTCAAAAAGTTAAAAATAGAACCACCGAATGGTACAACAAGTCCACTTCTAGGTATATATACACGAAAGAATCAAAGTCAAGATCCTGTAGAGGTATCTGCATTTCCGTGTTCACTGCAGCATTAATCCCAATAGTCTAGGCGTGGAATCAACCTAAGTGTTCATCAGTGGATGAAAAGATAAACAAAATGGGGTCTATACACAAAATAGAATGTTTTTTAGCCCTCTTGCCATTTGCAATACCATGGATGAACCTGGAGGATACGACATTAAGTGAAAAAAACCGACCTCGGAAAGACAAACATTGCATGACTCCACTTACATGAGGAATCTAACGTGGTCAGACCCACTCTGTGAATGTTAACTACTAAATCCAAATCCGTATCGTGCCTCTTTATAACTGTAATAAGTAGTTGTAATACAGTAATAGTAATAATAGTGACAAAAAGATACACACCGGTTCTGACTGCCACACACGCTAACTCACTTAATCCTCCAGCAGCATTGCGAGGCAGTAAGAGTCATGAGCTTCCTTTTTCAGAGGTGGGAAGTCAGAGATATCCGAGCCTCAAAACCTGGCCCGAGAAGAGAAGCTCAGTTGCAACAGGGAGAAGCTAGAGGAGGAGCTGTACTCCTGACCTCGCCTGGAGGGGATCGGGGTGTTTCAGAAGAGACAAGGGGACCCTCAGCCCTCTTATAATTCCTCCTTGTCTGCATAAAGTAATAAAGGCTCTTGCAATGCAAGATGCACATTTTAGCGCAAAGCCTTTGCTGAAATTAAATGACCTGCTGGACGGCAGTTCTACCCACAGAAGCCTAAAATGTTAACTGGCAACCTCAGAATTTCAGGTTCACGGAGCATGTCAGGGTCTTCCCACCTGGATAGTTCTCCCTGCAAGGGACGCCACTCCCGTGTAATACCTCAGGCAGCCTCACATCCTAGGACAGTGGAGAAAGTACACTCTGTGCACAGCAAATTTCTAGCCCTAGAACAAGATTGTTCAACCGAGCCCTCTGTGAAGTCTTGCCAATCCAGTCACTTCTTTTTTAGGCCAGGCATATAGATGATTTAGCATGTACCACACATGGTTGTTTTCTCTTCTGTCTTCCCACCAGACTGCACAGTCGTGGAATGGAGATACTCATGCCACTTAATCTCTGTATCCTGCACACCTAGCAGATGCTAAACCTACCGTGCCATCGCTTTTAAAACGCTAAAATGCAATACTTTTAGTCTAATGTCTTTGAAATCAGAATACCCCTTACTCCTAACAGCATCTTATTATCTGAAAGTGGGTTGCTGTGGGGACACCATCCTTACTGCCTGATGAATATGACCAGCATCAAAAACTTGCAGTATGCATCTCAGTGTCTCAAAAGAAATTCCCAGAGACAATGGGCCCTCTCAAGCTTCAGGAAGCAGATGCTTGTGAGAGGGAGAGAGATAAGTGCACCAGCAACAGTTCTGAGGGTCAAAAGAAGACTAACATGGCATCATTTAAACACAGGCTAATGTGCCCATGACCTACGGGTTTTTATTCTTTTATGCATTATTTTGAGAAATGCTTTTTTTTTTATTTTTATTTTTTAATGACCGGTAAGGGGATCGCTACCCTTGGCGTGGTGTCGCCTGCATGGCGCTCAGCCAGTGAGCGCACCAGCCATCCCTATATAGGATCCGAACCCGCAGTGGGAGCGACGCTGCACTCCCAGCGCTGCACTCTCCCGAGTGCGCCACGGGGTCGGCCCGAGAAATGCTTTATCACTAAGGCTCTGGGTAGCACAGAAGTAATATTATGTGAAAAAATATGATGCCCTTAATTTAGGAGGCTAGATACTGAAATGGAGAAACTTTGTAGAACCATCTCAACCAGCTTCTTTCACTTATATGTAATCTTTTTTTTATGTACATACAAAAGTGATCACTGATTTTAAAAAATGTACGGCAAAGTCAAAAAGTGTTATTTTTCAGTAAGCGTAAAATGAAAATTATAGCTGATAAAAAAGCAGTGGCCATAGTTACATTCAGAGCATCTTTTTCTTTTCCTTTTCCTTTTCTTTCTTTTTTTAAAAAAACCATTTATCAGCACTCTTTTTTTAACGCAAAGATGTCCTGAATAATACTTAAAAGTAATACATGCAAGATCATTGTTCTTGGCCATTCCATAAAAAATTGTTTTCACAACTATGCATAATCCTCATCAAACATGTAAGAAATGCATCCATAAGGAAATCCCTTTTTATATTGTCTCTTCAGGATCATGCCTGTTAAAGGCAATGTGACTTTGGTAAAGGAATAAAATAGACTTTATAAAGATTAATTTTATTTTTAAAACCTCTACATAAGGCATTTAAAATATATTAGTGTGAAGGGAGACACCTGGTTATCAAGTAACTTGACTTCTTCCAATTTACATTCTCATTCTTTCATTTTTGTTAGCTGAGCCTTCTTCATTCATTCATTCATTCATTCATTCATTCATTCATTCATTTAAAAAAGCCTATTGGTGGATGATGTTTTATACATAAAAATACCTGAAGTACAGAGAGAGCATTTTTCCTTTCTCAGGGCTCCTGATGTGAGGGTGACTCACCCTCCACTGCATCTCGAGTCTGAGCGCACGGAGCAGCACACAGGGAAGACGCTGTCACGTTGCTCCTCACCTTCGTAGTTCATGCCGACCCCACTGTGAAGCAGGCAGATCCAAGCCAACAAAAGCCCCACGAGCTGGGCCATGCTCCTCCTCTCAAAGGCCGGCGGTCGGGAGCTGCCCTTGAGGACCTTGCAGCCCTGGGAACCAGGCATGGCTGTCGTCTCCTCTCTTTCCCCTGCTCCGTCCTGCCACTTCCCTCCTTCCTGCTTCTCTCTTATCAATCCCCAGTCTCCTCCTTCTCTCCTCCCCTTCCTACTCCTAATGCCCTTTCTCCTCTTCTCCCGCCTGCCTTCTCTGTCTCCTCCATTCCTTCTCCCTCCTCCTCCTCTCCTTCTCCTTTATCCCCCTCCCTCCACCTGCATTTCCTTCTTCTCCTCCTCCACCTTCTGCCCCTTGCTCCTTTTCCCTGCCCCTCCTTTCTACTCTTCCTCCGCCTCCTCTCCTTCTTCTTTACCTCCCCCTCCTCCCCAATCTTTTTCTTCCTTTTTCTCCTCCTCCTCCTCCATCTTTTCTCCCGCTCCCTCTCTGCTCCAAAGCTGAGCCATCCGCCTTGCATAAGAAGAAACACAGAAAAAGAAAGACTTAAAATAACTGGCATTAAACACAGACAAGGAAGAGTGATGATGAGGAATTTTGCGTTATTTGCATGAAGATAATCATCAGGGATCACACAAGCAGTCATAGACGTATCCACATCCTGGGCCTTAGTGATCTTTGTAAGCCAGGGCTAAGGAGTTTCCTGGAGAGGCCTAGGGAGGCTTCTTGGAGAAGCAGATTTGCTTCCTCAATGCAAGTGTCTTTGTCTATGCTCCACGAATCTTCTATGTGGTGAGCACGCAGAGCAGCAGCTGGCAAAAACCACTGCTGTGCCCTTTGTATAAAGTTGTTTGGCAGCTGTAGGGGAGAAGAGGGCCTTGGTGGCCCCCAGGCCAGCAAGACCACTAACAGGGTTCTCGTGGACCCACATAGGAGTGAGGAGTCACAACAACTGAAAAAAAGAAGCCACTCAGAGGCCGGTGAGTCACTGCAAGGGACTGGTGCATAGCCCCTCCTATGGGAAGTGTTTGGAGTGTGGGCGGTGGGGGAGACGGACCGACTGGGGGAACACTGGGGCACAGCATGGAGAGCTGATCTGCCCTCCAGTCAGCACAGGCCCACTCAGTGTGGACTGGTCAGGAATATAGAACCGCAGCGGGTACAGTTTGCTGAAAAGACTCAGGCCCACACAACCCAGGACTGGACCTCACAAGACCTGGAAGTGCTTACAAGGTCAACAATTAAAACCTGAGCTGCACAAAAAGCCTTCCCCAGGGAATCAGCAGCAAAGCAGCAATTTAGCTCAACCACAGGGCTCAAGTGCTGGTTCCCACGGGAAGTTCCCCCATTCTCATTTTAGAAGTAATTAAAGGACAACAAATTAGTTCCTGTGCAGAGTTTAACTGGTGGAGGTAGCTAAAAATCCAACATAGAACTGAAAGAAAACACAAAAACCCCACAGACCAGAGACAAAGTTCTGATATTAACCAGTAAAAGTCTAACACCACCAAAGAGCACTCACTATAAAACCTAGAAGGACCAGAACCTTCCAGGCTCCCAAGCCAAGATGCAGGGAGGGCTGAGGGCCTCAATCACATCACCCTGATGTCTGCATCCAGCCCAGTGACAACCACCACTGGGCTGCCACTGGAAGTGCCCTGTGCTTCTGAGGCAGGGTGGTGAGGGGCTGAAAGTCTCAGCCACGCCTCCCGACATCTCATCCAGCCCAGCTACAACCACCAGGCTGCTGATAGAAGTGCCCTGGCCTCCTGAGCCGGCATGCAAGGGCTGCTGAGGGCCTCAGCCACGCCACTCCAACCTCGGCATCCAGCCCAGCAAGGACCACTGAACCACTGCTGGAAGCACTCAGAGCACCCTTGGTGGAATGAGGGGGTGCCAAGGGCCTTGACCACACCAACCCTTCCTCCTCCTCCCACCTTATCCCCCTCCCCTTGATGCACTCCCCCTCCCCCAACTTCTCCAGAACATCTTAGAATGTGTAAAAAAAAATTATGATAAATAAATAAATAAAATAAAGTTGGTGGAAAAAATAGAATTAAAAGATAATACAAATCTTTCCACGGACTTTCTGAAGTATCTTTATTAGTATGATGGGAATTTCCTTTGGAAAAAATGCAAAAAATGTTCTGCACCCGAATAATGGCTGTGAAAAATGTCAACAGCTATCAAATCAGAAGCTCTCAACTGTATGACTTCTGCTGCTCTTGAATGATACATATAGATATGAAACAAAAGCCTGCTCAAGACTTTAAAAAGCCAAGCTTCCTTTGGAAACCAAGTATTTGGAAGTGGTTGTTGCCTTCACTTTTTCCTAACGTTTCTGCAGGCCTGTGTAGCTCATACAATCACTTGGGAAAATTTATCCCTCAGTCTTGGGTGTACAAACCTGTCAACAGCGTGATGCAATTGGCTTTTAAGATAAAGTCATCTGGGAATTCCCACCAGCATCTCAACGTTCCTTTTATGTGCAGCCACTTCGGCTTCCTCCCACCAGTTGAATCTCTACAGCAGGGATCATGACAGAAAGACTGTCATTTTCACCATACAGAGTTTCATGGCTTCTTTTTTCCTTCTCTTCCCCCCCCACTTCATTGAGGTATAATTGGTGTACAAAAAAGGTATACACAATTAATGCACAAGATTTGGTGATTTTCGACATATGTAACACTCCTGTTAGTATCACCACAATCAAGGTAATAAACATATTTATCACCTCCAGTATATCCTTTTGTGCCCCCCCCACTTTGTTTTGTATGTGTGTGAGGTAGGAGCACTTAACATGGGATCTACTCTCTCAAATTTTTAAGTGCACAATCACTTTTCGTTAACTGTAGTCACGATGTTGTACTGTAGATCTCTGGAGTTCACTTATTTTTCAGAACTAACTTTATACCCATTGAACGCCATCTCTCCACAGCCCTCCTTCCCGTCCCCTGGTAACCACCACTCTATTGTCTATTTCTGTACCTTTGACTATTTTAGATGCCCCCTAGAAGAGGAATCGTGCAATACTTGTCCTGTGTCCCTCTTATCTCACTTAGCATAATGTCTTCCAGGTCCATTCATATTGCTGCAAATGGTAGGATCTCCGTCTTTTAAAAGGCTGAATAACATTCCATTGTGTGTGTTCGAGTGTGTGTGTATCACATTTTCTTATCCATTCATCTGTAGATGAACATTTGTATTGTTTCCATATCTTTGTTATTGTGATTTCTGCTGCAATGAACATGAGAATGCAGATATCTCTTTAAGAACCTGATTTCAATTCATTTGGATACTATATTAGTCCGTTTTGTGTTGCTATAACAGAACACCTGAGACTGGGTAATTTATAAAGAACAGAGGTTTATTTGGCTCACGATTCTGGGACAGCTGCATCTGGCACAGGCCTCAGTCTGCTTCTACTCATGGTGGAAAGTGGCAGGGAGCCGGCGGGTACAAGCAGATCACATGGTGAGAGGAAGCAAGAGAGAGAGAGAGAAGGGAGGTGCCAGGGTCTATTAACAACCAGCTCTCCCGGGAACTCATAAAGCGAGAACTCACTCCTTATTCCCCCCACTTAGGGGGAGCACTGATCCATTCGTGAGGGATCCGCCCCCATGACTCAGCTTCCAGCACTGCCACGTTGGGGACCAGATTTTCACATGAGTTCTGGGAGGGACAAACATCCAAATTCCATCAGATATATGCCCAGAAATGGAATTGCTGGATCGTGCAGTAGTTCTATTTTTAATATTTTGAGGCACTCCATACTTTTTCCCATAGTGGCTGCACTATTTTACATTCCCACCAACAGTGTACAAAGATTTTAATTTCTCCACATTTCTTGCCATTTTTATAATAGCCATCCTAAAACTCTTTCACACACTAACTACTCTCTCTCGGTACAACAGTGGCAGGTGTTAGGGGTCCTTTCTTGGTGATCCAGGAAGCCGGGAGATGCTGTATTAAGTCTCTTTATTGTTCAAGCAGACATTGAATATATAACAGCTGCTTTCCCTTCTTGTTTGAACATCTTTCACTGAAACATGATAAAGGAGATCTAGAATATATTCCACGACATAAGAGTTGGTCTTTGGCACACTACCTTTTTGCTAGTATAATCGATACTTTACGAACACCGAGTGTGTTAAGACATCATACGCTTACAATTCCTAAATCAACCATCTTTGTCCTCATCATCCTTGATCTATGTCAATCATAATTGCATTGCATGTCACCAATTGCCCATTCTGTAAACATTTCTTCAATCAAATTTATTTTATTATTAGCCATGTGAGATTCAAAAATCCCTTTACAAGGGAATAAAATAGAAGAGCCAAATTTATCATTAGCCCATTTTGCTGCCAATTTTAAATTTCTTTCTGTTATTTATGTGTGCCTGAGTATTGATCAACAACCTAAGAGTTAGCACATCTAATATTGTTAGCAAACTTTTTGTGTGCACAGAAGAATATAATTCAGGGGAAAGTTTTTCAGTCACTATTTTTTAGGATGTTTTATCTAGGATTACCAGATTGAGCAAATCTCAGAAATCTTTCACCTTCAAGTACTAAAAGTTGTTGGCTATTTACAGCATTAGAAAAATTGAAACATAATTGATTGTACATATTTGTGGAGTACAGTTGAATATCAATACCTGTATACAATATGTGACGATCAAATCAGGATAATTTGTATATTCATCATTGCAAAACATAATCATTCTTTGTGATCCTTAACCACTTTCTCACTAATCCTCCTCCCCCTCCTTTCCCACCTCTAGTAATCACAGTTCTGCTCTCTCTTTTTGAGAGCTCAATGTATTATTGTGATTGCTGTATTTTTCTTTCTGATTTATTTATTAGCTCCCACTTATGAATGAGGACATGCAGTATCTCTCTTTCTGTACCTGGCTTATTTCGCTCAACATAATTTTCTCCAAGCTCATCCATGTTGCTGCAAATGGCAAAATTTCATTCTTTTTTATGGCTGACTAGTATTCCATCCTGTATATATAGCACATTTTCCTTATCCAGTCACCTGTTGATGGACATTTAGGTTGGTTCCATGTCTTGGCTATTGTACATAGAGTTGCAGTAAACATGGGAGTGCA